TAGAGTATGATACGACGACCGAAACCGCTGAAATATTTAGATAGAGCGAAAAGAAAAAAAGATAAGGAAAAAAGTTTTGCCGAATATTTCTGAAATGTTTCTTTGTCAAAAAATTCCTTTTTTTGTCCTCGTTTTTTAAACGTCTATCGAGTGGACACTTTTAATTATAAGAAACGTTTTTAGAAACCGGTTTAAAAACCGGTTTTACACTATTATTTTTTAAACGTTTCTGAAACAAATATGTGTTACCTGGGCGGTACCACATTTTTTTCAATGACACCGCTAGCTAGAAGAGCTTTGTCATTACAGTGTCGTTAGTGCAAGTAATAATCATCGCTAATGATAGAGACATCATTGTTAGGAAATTAGAGAATAGGCATACTCTGACTGGGATACTATTTTTCGCAACGTGTCCTTCGTATTCTTAATAGTTATAGTACGTGATTAAAAGTGATTTATTAGTATCGATATTATTGAATTGATTATTAATTTAATTATGTAATTGTACTATTTTCAGTTTGAGACTGTATCGAGAATATTGGGACAGACAGTAACGGCACATGATCTAGTGGGCTGAAAAATGTAGGTACATAAATAAATATGCAATAATATTATTAAGTACAAAGCTCCAGCCTGACCGTACAAAGCTTATTACCAGCTGCTTGTATTTTATTATTATTTTTATTATCTTTTAATTATTATTGTTACATTATTATTTGTTAAAATATAAATATTTCTACAATATATGTTAGATTTATACCGATTTTAGAAAACAGATATCCATTGTGTATTATTACATAGATACAAAGGGTGGGGGTATATCAAGATTGGTGCCTCTTTGCCGAGGTAACGCTAGTGAATGCCGACGAGTCATCTTTTCAGTCTGAGGTTGGAACGCTTCGCGAGAACACGCACTCTATATCAAACTACGCGGTTATAATACTGTGTTATCAGTCGTTGATTGTGACATAAAAAAATGTACGAAACAGCAAAAATGAAGAAGAAACATATCGACGATGGTAAGATAACGTTTTAGATATAAGTTTAAACACAGTAGCAGAAGAACGATTTTTAATCGAAATAATAGACCTGAGTTCCAAGGAATAAACTTATTATTACATGAGACAAGTGCGTTTCAAGAAGTTTCGATTTTTAATAATACAATTTTAATTAAGTTAAAGTGATCAAAATATGCGTTATACTAATGAATGGAATGGTGTCTGTCTATACGGGATAGTTTGTGTCGCCGATCTTTATTCATTCCTGGCTGGCACAAAATTAATTAAATCATAAATTAATTATACATATAAAGACTTAATTATATAAAGTTTCAAAATTCAACGTTACTGCTAAAAATCTATAGTGCACATATGGGAGAAAACGGAGGCCAGATTCGAATTCAGTGACCAAAATTACATAAAGTGCACTTGGTTTCATTCCATTAACATGACTCTTGTAGACCTGTGTTATCAACGTTAAACTTTGGCTCGAAATAAGAGAAATTTCTCTAACGCGATCGATGCATTTTGTGCTGAACTTTATAAGCAATTATGCATGATTTTATCAGAATGTAAAAACCTTTTTACAAAATTGTTACTTATTTCAGTTTAGTTGTGTTATTAACTAAACTGAATATATTATAATTCAGAATTGCTATATCATTTCTTTCACTTCGTATCAACAATATATTATTATTTGCAATAACAATATATTAAACTTAATATTTTTATCGAGAAATAAAGGACTCAGAGCCGTGACAGGGTGGCAGTGTCTAAATATTTTATTCTAAGTTTATTGCGAAAAAACATATCACCTCTGCCAGGGTTTGAACCCTGTGTGCACCGTGTACATTTATTATACACCCTGTATAATTGTGTGACAAGAGATAACTGCATCGGAGATGTGACAGAGGATGACAAATGTAAAATGTTTCAATATCCGTATCTTAGTAATTTTTTTACAAAACATAATAGGAGAATCGATTTAAAAATTAGAAACCATTATTCAAGGGGTAAACGGTTGACCAAAATCGTGTACACCAATGCCCACCAATGCCCACAGTGGGCATTACTTTATCTTATTATCTTATTTTATCTTTATAATGCCCCAGCAAGGCCTACACAAATCTGTACACCACAATGCCCTCAGCGGTTTATCCCTCGCCATTATTTAAAAAAAAGTGCAACATTAAATATATTAATGCATATGAAAAGGTCAAATAGTTTATTATACGAGTATGATTCTCCGAATTATTTGATTATATCTATTGTTCTGTGTATAAATATTTTAACGCTTTGCAGTGCAAACGCAAACGGTTGATGAACATTTTAAATTTCTCCTGGAGGATAACAGTGTCATCAATCCGGAAGCAACCGATGTAACACCCGATGATCTTCCAGACTGGTACGATAAAAATTTGTATAAAGAGTAAGTGTCTACTTATTGATAAAAAATTTCAACATACGAGTAATAACAATTATTGCATTGATTCGTGAAGCAAGCATGATAGATATATTTTTATTAAACATAAAGAACGAATCGGCTACGCGTCTTCTGCGGAAAAGGTGAAACTTGTTTAAGTCACTATGTAGAGGCATTTGAGATAACAAAGAAATGGTTTAGAGTACTTTAGAGATTTATGGAAGAACAAGAGAGTAACGCTAAATATGGAATGACAAGCTATTACAGATAGAGAAAAGGTAAGGTGCTCTAGAAATTATGGAAAGCCAAGAAACGTATGCGTTACGTTTTTATAAACTATACAATTTTATTAACTACACAAAATATGACATTAAACAATTTTAGGTTTAATATCATGTTTTGTGTATAAACATTGACGACAATTAAAACTTTCGAAAAGTTTAGTACAGTAGTTTTTCTGTACATTAAATAATGTGTACATTAAGTTTATGCACTTTACAGCTGTGTGTGTGTGTGTGTGCGTGCGCACGCGCGCGCGCGCGTGTGTGTGTGTGTACAGGCTGATTTAAAAATACATTTCCTCTGCGTTTCTTTCCATAATTTCCAGAAACTTTGCCTTTTATCCTATTTAGTTCATCATTCCATATCCTATTTAATAGGACCAAAAATTTCTCTCTTATTTTTCCCCTAAACCTCTTAACCATTCCTCTATTTTAACCATTATCTCACATTTTTCTACAAAGTAACTTATACAATCTTTATCTTTTCCGTAGAAGACACACAGCACAATCCTATTCGTCCTTTATGTTTAATAAAAAAATTGTCCCAGGCAAATATTTCGAAAAATATGGAAAATACCAAACAACGTTTCATATAAAAGTTTTATGATTTTAAGGAAGTCATAAGATGGTTGGCTTAACCTTTTAATCATTTGATGCTCACTTTAATCGTTTCAGGATCATTACATATTCTTTATTTGAAAAATCGAGAACCGTAAAACGGGCATTTTTTGTACCCTTTTTGCGGTTGTTCTTTCTGCTTGGGTATACATATATGTATATGTGTAATATATAGGACAGATATTTTTTGATGATAAAATAATTGTTTTATCATTGCCTATTTTACATTTATAATATGTATCTTAAAATCTAACATTTAATTTTAGAGCTCAAAAATTTTATTTGCGAAATATATTATCAATGATGGCGGCAGCCACAGTCGGAATTATTGCAGTATTTTCAGTGGTGACAATACGAAAGGTATTAAAACTTTACTACTAGTACATTTTATTGATTCCCCTTAGGGTTACAAGGCGTTTTTGAAGGAACGTGCCCAAACCTCTTATAACACCTCTCTCTATATCCACTTCGTTATGTGGTGATCGAACGAAAAAGCAACAATGTTTTTGTTTGGTTTTGAACCCGGGTCTTCGGATTACCAGATCAGCGCACAATCCTCTGCGCCACGTATTAAAACTTTATAATATTTTTAATATATACATAATTTAATAATATATACATTTAAAATAATCATAAATAATTATTTTTGCGCAGTTACAAGATTCTTTATTTTTACGTATTTCAATGGAATCGTAATTTCAGCATGAAAACCAAATTTGTTATAATAAGTAACATAGTACCATTTATTTAAAAGAATTTTTTGTTTTGTTAACAGATACTCGAGCACACAAAACGAAGTAGTTCGACTCGCATGGCTTTTAAAAGATATGTTGAAACTCTTTTGCACATACACAACTTATCTACGTGCGATTTAAATGACATAGACTCCAAGTAAGTTTCTTAAAACCTGATTTATTAAATCTTTCGTCGTTTATGATACAAACAAAGCCATAAATTATTTGTTCCGTGAAACGCAATCATATTTCTACCCATAACATGAATTATACATAGCACGTTTAAGATTTATAGACAATGTGATATAAAGAAGCTACATTAATTGCAGCCTTTGGACTTTATGGCCTCTTCATCATGTAACAAATTATATAACACGAGCCTTTCATTGTATATGTATAGCATGACATGGCGTATTAAGCATAGCATTGTTTAGTAACATAACAAATCACAACAATATATCCAAGCACGTGAAAAGTATAAAGTATTGCTTCCTCTTTGTAAATGTATTTGTAATAATTTAATGAATTTTAATATCTCTCAAGTATTTAAAAAATACCGAAAAAAATATTTGAATAAATAATAAATGGACACAATTATTACACGTCGTACAACACTCATAAAATATTCTGTCCATTCTGAATGCTTATTCTTACATCATTTCTATTAAAAGTACCGCCGTATTTTCAAAATAGATGACCTAAAAGAATTTCTATTTAGATCTTTAAAAAGGGAGGCTTAAAGCTCTAACAAGGGAATTGTATGGTATTTCGTGATAATTACAGTTATTCTACAATAATTACCTTTATCAAATTTTTCGGTCATGAATAGATCATGTTCAGCGTAAAAAATATTTGATAAAAATTATTTATAAAATCCGGTAAAAGATATAATGTGTTTGCAAAAATAGATAGCTCGCACTATGTATTTATCGCATTTATTGCGTTCATATACCATAAGATAAAAAGAAATCAAACATTAAGAATATTGCAACAAACAATATATTGTAATGTAAATTTCATCGTAAAGATAAATAATAGCCAATTTGAAACGTAAAAGCCATTTAGAACTTGGCACAGGTGGAGGTGGCCAATTAAATTATTAAGTGAATCCATATACCGTCTTTTTCCAACTTGTCCTGCGCGCCGTTAAATACCGGACATGTAACACACAGGTTTTTTGTTAGGTGGAATCATTATCGTCAGTGAATTTACGTAAATTCTTATTGCAAAAAATATTACCTCAGCCAGGATGAGGTAATATTGGAAGAAAGACGGTGTTAGTAATTTAATTGGCCGATTCTGCGTTTGATTCAAGACTACTCAATACTTTCTTTCCCTTGTTACTTCCCAAGTTTTAATATCGAGAGTTTGTAATTAATTAATCATGTTCTATTAATTAATTGATCATGTTCTATTAGAAAAAATTCCCAAGACTACATAAATATAAAAAATTAAGAGTAAATAAAAACTAATTGCAAATACATAGGGAGAAGTCTTCGATTATGAGATACTGAGTAAATTTTGAATAATTTCTGGAAATCTATAGGCAGAATTTAAACATATATAATAGCTTATTTTTAAGGGAATTTAATAAGCATTAAGTTTCTGAAAATTTTCATTCAATTATTATTTTTTCTCAAAATTAGAGAAATATGAAAAAAGGGCTTTATACGAAATTTAAAAGTAGGTTCCTAATAGGAGATACCCCGAGGAATCGCTAAATTAGTAAACCTTATTAAATGTTTCTAAAGTACAAACGTAATAAAAACTTATTTGCAATAATCGCAAATCCATTTATGTCAATATATTTCAGATGTATTCTTCTCCTACTAAATAGATTTCACTCTAAGAGCAATAAGTTCACGGTGGAATCGACTGATTACGCCTATTAGTTTAGCAAAAACCTCGCCATGTCACATTAGGAGCCTCTTTTATAATAGGAGTCTCTCCTTTCTATAAAAACTGTGACGTGAAATGTAGAATCACGTTGAATAATTCATGATGTTAATTAATGCCGACCTTGGACATGTATCAACAAATAATTGCCCGAGAACGTGTTTGCGCATGTAATGTGGAAAAGAAAACAGGGTATAAAAAGTAGTCTAGGGAACGTAGGATGTTAAAAAGTGGGAAATAAATTAAAAACCGGAAGATATAGTCTTTAAATATTTAGTGTCATTCTGTTTGTTCAATACGACGATTTCACGTTTAATATATAATATAATTTTCAAAACAATTTTTTGGGGACGGTTTTGAGTTGAAGAATTTTCCAAATAAAATTGTATATGAATTAAAATTAATTTTAATCAAGAAATACGATCCGGTATTCATAGTCCGTTCTTATTTCAAGATCTTCTTAAGTCGTAATACTCTGTTATTGGACAACACATTAAGGTTTTTTTACTTTTCGATTAACTGCTAATCAGAGATTAGTTTCGCTATCTCTTTTTATATTATCTAAGAAGGAACAAGTAATTGACTAACCTGTGATTAACATTTAACCAGAAAATGAAAAACCGGACCTTGATTACAATTAAGAGGGTCTTACATAAGAATGAACTATGAATACCAGTCACGATAACGTCTCGTGCAAAGTATATTTGTCCGATGTACATACATGAGCGATACATCTCTGTTGTGAGCGCGACGCTACAGCGTATCATTTTCTAAATTAAAAACACACTTTTCTACAATACAATATTATGACACAACATCCGGTTGTAGCTCTGAGCCGCCTTTTTCACAGGTTCATTTATTAATCGTTTGAACCTTGTTATCTTTCTACATTTAGAATTTTCCTAGTGATTTAGACAATGCAATTATTAAAAAAAATTAATTAAATTAATTAAAGATTTATTAATAAACTACATTTCAAGTTTGTTTAAAACTCCATAAACATAGGTATAGATGAACTCAAATATATTTATACACTCTCAAAATCTGTTAGATGGTACAAGTCGATGAATGTAATTCGTTGGCATCACAAAATGGGCAGCAAGAAAGCAAAGAACGCTGGTATTGGAGAAATTACACAAAGGGACATGGTACTCACTCAATTTGGTTTCTTGGGATACCTCTTTCTCTTTCCCAAGTCTTTTGGAACGTGCAGTACATTGGAAGAAGATGAAGCGATTAATCATTTCTGGCGTGTAAATGGCTACATGTTAGGAATCCCTGATAGGTAATGTATACGATAATGTTGAAAAAATATTTCACTAAACAAATTTAGTATCCGAGCCTAATGTATTTCATCATGTAATCTCTATTATTCTACTAAAACCGAGGGAACACTAAATCCAAATTTAACGAAAATATTGAAGTCGCGGATAAATAATAAAATTAAGAGGTAACACTAAAAATTAACGGTAGAGTAAGTAAGTTAGAGAGCTAACTTTATTAATGATTTTTCTATATCTACAGGTTTAATTTGTGTCGCAAAAATGCAAAAGAGACCACTGAACTATGTGAAAAGATCAAAGATCTGTATGGAACTTATTTACGCGATGCTCCGCGTGAATTTCATGACATAACAACACATGCTTTGGATGGCGTTTGGTATATTGATATCTTAACGGATAAAGATTCTTTTATGTCATTCATCTATAAATTACATGGTCTCGAATGTAAGTATTCAATTTTTGTTATAACCTTCCAACACCACGCTGGATTACGCTAATGGCTAACTCATTCCCATTTTGAAACATGCAGCATTTTCACTTACACACTCTTGTAGATTACTGTTTGACTTGTATCGTTTGAAGAAACATTTACTGGTTAATATTTTAAGACGTGAGATAATAGCGAAAGAATTCACTGGATTTGCTAATTCAGTGTGGTGTTCGAAAGTGGTAACTGAAGTGTGATGTTTGAGGATCAAATACACATACAAGCCGGTATTCATAGTCAGATTTTTATATACAAGACTATCTTAAGATCATCTTTAGTTACTCTGTAGCAAATGAAATGTTTCATACAGCATCTTCAGGTAAATTCAAGATGGTCTTGAATATAAGATCTGACTATGCTTACCGGCCCTATATTTTTGTTTTGATGTATATGTATACTTTTGAAGTATTATTCCTTTATAATTCATATCTCTTTATTTTGTTCTCAGTATTTAATTCTAATATCTATATTGTCGATTAAAGTAAGCATTGTTACTTTTATTTACAAAGTTAGAGATTAAGGCCGGTATTCATGGTCAGATCTTGTATTCAAGACCGTCTTAAGAACATCTTTAGATACTTTGTAGCCAATGAAATGTTCCATACAGCATCTTAAGATAAATTCAAGAAGGTCTTGAATATAAGATTTGACTATGAATACCGGTCTAAGTGTTCAAATTAAGATATGTTTCCTTTGTAAGGACAGATTATCAAAATTATTATTGTGTGTGTATATGTAATACATATAATTTTTATATAATTTAAATTTAGTTTTATGATGCTTGCTGTATGGCAGTTATCTAGAATGAAATTATTACGACTTTAATTTAATTACTTTCATCAACATTGATAACATATTTTTAAATTGGAATTTTTATCAAAAATAATTTATGTTTCAGATAAAAAGCTTGGATGGTACAGTTGGTTAGTTGCAAAATATCGTGAATGGCTGTTTTATTTGTGCCGTAAGTATTGTACAGATTTGTATGACATTTTATTGTATCTATACAGCCTTTAACTTGTTCTTTGCCTTTTTCAGTTGTACCTTATGTCAGAGTAGTAATGAAAATATATAGTTACTACTTGGTTAAGTTCATACTTTGGAACTCGCAAAACTTTCCTCTACTTGCATGGATGAAATTTGGGAGAGAGAATGTTAAGCTTAATTTATACCCTAAACACTAACAGTTGTAAACACGACGTTATGGACGGCGCACAGTGACTTCTTCCCCGGAGATATTATTTACAGAATGTGTTAGACTTTTATAAATATTATACCAATTAATATTTTTTATAGACATTTTAATAGGAATCTTCAAATGCCTATAACATGCAGTAATTTGTAGTTATCGACGTTAGTTGAGTTTCACTAAAAAAAAAGTAATATAAGTATGTATTAAGAACTAACAATAATTTTTAATTTTGTAGAATTGTCTTACATGATAATGTACTTCCTTTATTATAACTATATGTATAATTATTTTTAAGAGTTTAAGTTTTTCAGCTTATGTAGAATCGATTCGATTGCAGATCGATACTAACTTTATTATTAACAGTTATAATTTCTCATGTAAATAAAAGAATTAATATCAAATGATCTAACAAGTAAATTTGTGGAAAGGAAACGCCCTTAGGAAAATGACTCTGTCTACAAATTTCTTTGGGAATGTCCAACTATTTTTGTTTTTGCAGATATGTCGTGGATATCAAATAATTGCGAGAAATGCATGCAATAAATTTCGGCTGTACATCAATATTTTTGTTAGTTGTATATAAATTTATTTAACTCTGCAATTGTGTTACATTGTGTTACAAAATTGCCTTACATTAGACGTTATTGCATGCAAATGTCACATATTCTTCAAATAATGTTTATGAACTACATATAATATTATAAAAGACAAGTTGAAATATTGAATATGTTAAAAATTACTTGTACTTTTACCTAGGAATTTCCAGCAAAATATTAAAAAGTTTCTGTCAAGGAAAAAATTTGTTTTCGGTTGACATCGTATAAGCTTTTCTTTCCATCATAGTAAATTCCAGTAAACCAAGTATGTATGTATATATTTACAGCTTACCCCATGGGGATTCGCTCTCTTACATGGCGCTTTTACCAGGAGCGTACCCGAACCTTTCACATTTTTCCTTAACCTACTTATCTTATAATCTTATTTCTTACATCTATGTCTAAAATTCCTGTGATGCTTTGGAAGGGGGCCATTCTCCTTCCTCCGCATCTTCCTATGCCTTCGCACACACACACACCTCTCTCGCAGTGGACTTCCGTTTTCTATCTAAACCAAGCTAGTTAATATGTTAAATAATTGGAGAAAAATATGGTATTGACCAATATTTAATAATGTAATACGAATATTGATCTAATGTTAGTCTAATATTGATATAATAAATATTTAATTCGTAAGTTATCTCATTACGATAGTCACTCATGAGAATTATTTTTTCTCTTCGTTAATTCTTGTTCCAGAAGGTATTAATCTATCATTTTCGGAGTTATATTAGAATCCATGACGATG